GCTCAAGAGTTTAGTTCTGTGTGTCATAAATGTTGGTTCACATTGTCTGCATTGAGTTTCTGTGATGGGCAGGTGGCATTATTTGGCAGTTTTGAAGGTGATTTTTCTTTGTGTAACATTTTATTCTTTTATATTCTTTTTTAGGTTACAATGCAACAGTCCTGGCCTATGGACAAACAGGTTCTGGCAAAACCTACTCCATGGGAGGCACTTACACGCAAGACCAAGAGAACGAGATGACCGTGGGGGTCATCCCTAGAGTAGTTAAGGCTTTGTTTAGGGAAATCGAGCAGCGGGATGACTGGGAATTTCTGCTAAGGGTGTCCTATCTGGAGGTGAGCTTGCGAGTACCACTGTGTACACCACAATTCGTAATCTAAAGTGTATGTGACTCCAAAAACTGCTTTCATTTTGGATGGCGTGGAGAATGGTTTAGTGCATGGCTGTCCAGATCCAGGTCCTTTGTCCTGCTGACTGTTGTCACCGTGATTGAAAATAATGTAGAATACAAAAAGGTGTGTTGTCACCAGAACAGAAATAGAGGAGAAAATTTCCTTTGGGGGACACGTGTTGTGACAGCTGTCTGAGATTATCTCTGCCTTTTGGTTAAGATTAAGTGTAGTAGCTGTTATCAGTTTTCGGGGCAGAATGTCCCCTTTTTCGAACCGGGTGATGGGTTGTGTAGTATTCCATGGAGTAATAGGTGTGCTGGAGCGGTTTCCTTTCCTCCTGGGTTGGTTCTGGCCTGGTTATGCCGGGCTTGTCCCCAGTTGTAGGGAGGAACCTCTCTGGTGCTAATGCCTTCTGGTAGGGATGGGGCTGCTCTGGTCTGGCTGGCGGGTTCGGGAGATGCAGAGGCCCCTGGTGCTGTCCCAGGGTATATCCGAAAATCACTTGAGTGGGACCCCATTGTGATTTACTGTCACTAGGTCATGGCACTTCAGCATTTTCTACACTACGCCTCTTGGGCAGGCCTTCTGGCTAGCCTGGGGCACTTTATACCTTGGCCGGATGGCCTTTCAGGTTTGCACTGGCACCTATTTATTTGCACACATTTTTTAATGCACATTTTGGACTCCACAGAGATGTAGGGTGCAGGTACCTTTTTGGGGCCTGTCCTGATGTATGGTGGGGGGGAGTTTTTGTGGCCTCTACGGGCTTCTCTGCCTCTCCCTACTTGGGGGTGTCTCTTCGGGAAGCTCCCTACCTAGTACTTGTAGGGTCCTGAGGATCGGGGTCCGCTGGCCTTTGGGTAGGTGGACCTAAGTTGTTTTTGCCCCTGTCGGGAGCCTTTGCGCCCGGGGGGTTTCAGGATTTAAAGACACTTCCTCTTTTGGAGGAAGGCCAAAGCCCCCCTCGTGCACTTTTTTTATTTTTAGTATGCTGCAATTTCACAGTTCACAGGCATCACAGACCTTAAAAAAAAAAAAAGCTGTTGGATATTATTCTCGCTTTGGAGACAGTTCTTCTCATTGCCTGCTGTCTACAGTACAGAAAGTGAAGGGAAACCTTAAATAGGGCAAATATTGGGGAGGGTGTCTGAGAGCTTTTCTTTACTACTCTCTCCCAATTGGGGAGGGGGGCAGGGATTGGGTTTTAGATCTACTATAAAATATTTAAACTGAAAACTATTTCCCTTCCAGATATACAATGAGGAAATTCTCGATCTTCTCTTTACTCCTCGAGATAAAACATGTCCGATAAGCATCCGTGAAGATCCCAAGGAAGGCATCAAGGTATGTGAATCTTTTACCATCACATGTACGCGACAAATGTATTTCTTGTGCTGCATAGCAAACCTCTGACTTCACTTCAGATCTGCGGCTTAACCGAGCGTGATGTGAAGACGGCCCTGGATATGGTGTCTTGTCTGGAGCAAGGGAATAGTTCTCGTACTGTTGCTTCTACTGCTATGAACTCCCAATCCTCCCGATCGCACGCCATCTTCACCATTTGTATAGAGCAGAGGAAAAAAGAAGACAAGTAAGTCCGCTGCATTTATCAATGAAGCCTGCTTTGTCCCTGTATGTTTAACTGACATTTCAGCAGAAGTGCACTAAATGACTTCTCTGAGCATCTCTCTTAATCTTGTTCTGTGAGCGCAGAGCCATGGTGTACAGGAAAGCTTGGCTTCTGTTCCGGTCTCAGCGCAATGCTCTGGACCTGTTTAGCCAATACTGAGGACCCCATTGTAGGCGATGGGAGACAGGCTGGCAGTGCTTCGACTCCTATATTTAAGTAGTGCTGGACCCCGAGGTTGTCCAATTGGTATAGCTACCCAATATAATTGCTATGGTATTTGTACAGGTTGTCTGGTTACCGAGCTGGAAATTTCTACACACCAGAGAATCCCCACAGGTTCTTTTAGTGCAAAACAATGGATCTAAGATTAAAGCCCCACACCACAAATGGTCCAGGTGCAATTTTATTCCAGTTCGGAGTAGGAATACCAAATCTGTAACCGGTTAAGTTTCTATTTGTTTCAGGAACAACAGTTTCCGTTCCAAATTGCACCTTGTCGATCTGGCTGGGTCTGAAAGACAGAAGAAAACAAAGGCAGAGGGAGATCGTTTGAAGGAAGGTTAGTTGTATTTAAATGTCTTTACATCGTCCGTAATAGAAGTCACCAGCACTCTGACATGTGCAAGAAGTAAAGCACTTTTTATTTGTCACATGCATCATACAGGGCTGTATAACACGTGACAATTTAATAAAAAGTGCTTTACTTCTTGCACATATCGAGTGCTGGTGACTTCTATTATGGACTGTATTTGACACGGCGCCATCCGTGTTGTCACTCCAAGCACCAACCTTTCAACAAGGTCTGTACGCTGTATGGAGTGCAGGTGATTTTGTATGATCTCTTTCCATTGTGTCTAAATCTTCCCCTCAGTTCCTTGTAATAAAACATGTATTATACCCATGTCTCCTACCTCCCTTCTGTTCTCTGTAATAGAAGAGGTATTCTACTCCCCTCTGGTGTCCCGTGTCTCCTACCTCCCCTCTTCCCTGTAATAGAAGAGGTATTATAGCCCCCTCTCCGGTTTCCCATGTCTCCTACCTCCCCTCCGTTCTCTGTAATCGGAGAGGGGAGTATAATACCTCTTCTGTTTCCCGTGTCTCCTTCCTCCCCTCCATTCCCTGTAATAGAAGAGGTATTATACTCCCCCTCTCCGGTGTCCCGTGTCTCCTACCTACCTCCCTCCATTCCAGCACTGTAAGCGTCTGTGGCATTCAACATTTCTGGGAGCTTCAGATGCCTTTGTCCCCCACTCTGGTTCTTTCCTCCGGCTCCTGGGTCACACAGGTATCCAACACTCCTGGAAGTGCCAAATGCAAAAAAGTCTTATGGGGGCTGCAGTGCTGGAATGTAGGAGACATGGGCTACTTGAGTATAACACTTGTTCTGTTGCAGGGAACAGAAGCGATGGGGTTAACCTCTGTCAAGATGTACAATAAAGGTCAAATATAGACATTTGCCCGTAGACATTTGTATGTGGCCTTATGACCACTCGGCTGCAGCTAACTTATTCATTGCTTTTTGTTTTTGGCTGTAGCTTGGTCAGTATTCATATACTCATTTCTAATACCCAACAAGAAGAAAACTGATGTAGTGTTTTTCCACTCGCAGGTATCAGCATTAACCGTGGCTTGTTATGTTTGGGAAATGTCATCAGCGCTTTGGGGGATGAATCAAAGAAAGGAGGATTTGTGCCATACAGAGATTCGAAGTTAACTCGTCTTTTACAAGGTGAGTCGCTGAGCTTTGCTGGTGTGTCCTGTTCATTTGGAGACGTGTCCACAGAAATTTTACCTCTTCCAGATATATTCTGCACTAAAAATGTATCCCTATGTGTTTTATGGGCTACAGTTCTCACGTGCGCAGTCCGTTCAGGTTACGACAAAAATACTGCATGTCACATTTTGTACGGTCCAGAAACGCAAAACGCGTCAAACTTACAGCATCTTAGCAGCGGGCCCAGCTGGGTCTCTGCCGGGGGAGAAGGCAGCGGGCCCAGGTGGGTCTCTGCCGGGGGAGAAGGCAGCGGGCCCAGCTGGGTCTCTGCCGGGGGAGAAGGCTGCGGCCCGAGCTGCGTCTCTGCTGGGAGGAAGTAGTTAGATTGCTGCTGGTAGGGAGCACCAGGGAAAAGTGCATTCATCGGTGTTGGCTCTGTATTTAGATGTTTTTCTGGAGTCCCACTTTAAGAATTGTTACATATTTTTGCAGATTCCCTTGGGGGTAACAGTCATACTCTGATGATCGCATGCGTCAGTCCTGCTGATTCGAACATGGAGGAGACTCTAAACACCTTGCGCTATGCAGACCGAGCCAGAAAGATCAAGAATAAGCCCATTGTCAACACCGATCCACAAGCTGCAGAACTTCAACGTATGAAGCAACAGGTAAGAATGGACAGATGTCGGGGTGAAGAACACTCATCACAATACAGCTTTGCTTTACTCACCATGTGTATGTTACTCTTCACAGGTTCAGGATCTGCAGGTTTTATTGCTGCAAGCCCACGGAGGGACATTACCTGTTATGACAAAGTAAGAACCCGGAACTTTCAGAGGGCAGACATTGGCCCACTTTTATTTTTATATAAATACTGTTTTAATAAATGAGATTTTGACTTTTCTCCTCCAGTATGGAGCCATCTGAAAATCTTCAGTCTCTACTGATAAAAACGAAAAACTTGGAACAGGAAAATGGCAAGTTGAGTCGGGAGCTGAGCGAGGCGGCTGAACAGACGGCGCAGTTTCTGGAGAAGATAATCTTGGTGAGCAGTTGGATCTCGCTGTATGCTTGGCTTGTTTTACTTCTCTATTGCAGAGCTTATTGCGTTCTGGCAGCTGTATAAAAGCCTTGAAGTGGATGTTACAAACCTATTGACTATTATATTTGGGGGTGTTTTCGAGTAGTTTTGTGTAAATTTGGCTTTATGGCACAGGCCCTTTTCACACAGGTACCTTCCGTTCTGATCAGCAGGGGCTCCATGCACGAATACCCTGCTGATTGGAGCAGATGTCCCCATTGTAACATCCTTGTCCGTCCAGTTTTTAAATCCATCTTGCGCTGAAGGAAACAACAAATTACTGGACCCATGCTGGTCTATGGGGGAGTTGCATGTAAACAGACATGTGTTTGTTTTACATCAGTTTATCTCCGATCCAGGACTGAAACGGAACTCCGTTACATTTGTTTTTCCAAAGCTGGCCATAGTCAGGGGTAATTGGATGTGAATGGACTTGTGTCCACTTAGATCCGGCTGCCCATAGACTAAGCCCTCGTTCACACCTGAACGTTTTGTAGCGCGTTCTACGCTCGACGAACGCTCTACAAAACGCTCAAAAATATAAATCCCATTGTATTCAATGGTCTCGTTCCACCTTGGCGTATTTCTGCCCGTCCCTAACGCGTAACAAAACTGCCCACGCATGAAAAGGTACAGGTACTACTTTGGGCCGTTTTGTTGCGCGTTTCCATTGGGATACAGCCAAGTAGCCTTCGGAAATGCGCGACTTTTTTTACCACGAATCGCGGTACAAAAACGTGCGGCAGACGCACATATGCAATACTCCTAGGTGTGAATGAGACCTAAGATCGAGCGTTTGATCAGATACGTCCTGACAGACAGACCTGATGCCCGAGTGAATGGGGCCTTAGTTTGCGATGGAACACCTGGTGATCCTGCAGGTCTCCCTTCTTTCCTGTTGCAGTTTGGCCAAGCTTGGAATTGAATCCATGCTGGTGTGGTCAGTTTGCATGTCACTGCTTCCCTGTTAGAAATGCAGAACGCTGTGCCAATGCATATGCTGTGTCTCGCATAGTCAGTTTTGGCACTACAGGCCCACTATCCTGGTGATAGGGGCCCTGTTGAGCTTCACTATCAAACTGAAGTTTGCTTATAGTGGTGTTGGTTGAGAACAGCAACATCATAATCTGTCTTTAGCGAACACACTGCCTTCATTGTAGATAAGACTCCTTTTTAAAGGCACTTTATAACAATGTGCTCTTATCCTTTATGCCCCACCCTTCCTGAACGAAACAATCCCACACTCCCCCCAGATTCTGGAAGCCCGCCCCTCAGCGGGGCTGGCTTTCGATGATCGCAAGTACGATCTGCCCGTCCAAGGTGGGCAGATCGTACGGGCTTTCAAGAAGCATACGACCATCGCAAGACAAAAGTCTTGCGATGGTCGTAAGGTGTATGGGCACCTTGAGATACAAGTACGGTTCTGCTATTGCCATGCAGTGCTCTAGTACTCCCTCTGCTGAGCGCACATGTGCATTACAGCCCCATATACCTCTATGGGACAGTCTCCTTTCTGGGAGACCGGCGCGGCCAGGAGAGGTAGACATGTAGTGCTGAATGTTAAGAAATGGCTAAGCAGCAGCCCTCAGATCTTGGTGGGTATAGATCTGTGGAGGACACGGGTAAGATTATTTACATCAGGGGAGGGGGGCATGTTGAATAAGTGCGCCTTTTTTTTTTGCCCACAAAATGGCTTTGTATTTGCATCAGAACCTAACTTATATCGGCCCAGGTCTACTACATGGCTGCCAATCTCCTGCATCCAACGCTTCTGCTCCATCCATAACAAAAGCAATTTTGACTGAATGTTATAAAATTATATATTTACACTAATTTTTGTTTTGGGGTTTTTTTTTTTTTCCTAATAGACTGAACATGAAAATGAAAAACTCACCAGTAAAATAGATGAGCTTCGGCAACATGCAGCGTATGTGGATTTATACAAGTAATAGGAGTGGAGATCTATGGAGGGGGGGGGTCACTAATTTTTTTTGTTTGCCTATTGTTTCCAATCTTAGATGCAAAGTGGATCTGCAGAAGTTGGTGGAAACCCTGGAAGACCAGGAGCAGAAGGATAATGTGGAGGTGATCCGCAACTTACAGCATCTTATCAGCCATCTCCAGGTGAGCGCTTACTGCAAAATATCCCTTAAAGGAGTATTATGGGGTCAGTGTTTTTCCCCATAGTTCGCCTAAGGGTCACGGGAGGGCATAAACTAGCGTCCTCCCGTCACCCAACGCTCGGTATATCGCCAGCTACAGCTCGCGGTATACTGAGGTAGCCGGGACGGATCCCAGCGTTACTGTCGAGATCCACCCAGCTGTGTGATAGGCAGAGCCAGCTGTCAATCTAGAGGCAGAGCCAGCTGTACTCTCCCCGTCCCTTCCGCCAGTCAGCGCTGGGGGATTGGGGGGGGGGATTCCTGCAGGGCGCCGTGAGCGGCAGTTACGGCTCTCTGCAGGGACATGATTGAGAAGTGAGCGACTGTATGTGTTCACTCCCCGATCTATTTAGCCGGCGTGTGTCTAATTGTCACAGGTCGGCTCGAATTATGAGGATGAGTGAAAATCTCTCACCTCATAGTTCTCCTTTTAATGTGTGCAACTAGAAGCATGTTTTTAATCTTTTTGGTCCATGTAACGGTAACCTTATTCAAAGCAGGTTTAGCCCCTGTGGATATCACTGCAGATAGTCTTATGTGTGCACCCCCCCTCCCCAAACTAGAATCAATCGATGAATGCCTCTTATCTGAGGGTTGTGTGGTTGGGGTTTTTTTTTTTTTTTCCTCCCCCTTTGAAAAACTTTATTGCTACTTGGGTGGGTTTACAGTAAAATAAAAGCACATTGCTCTCTTCCAGATCTCTGACGTGTTTTTCGGCCCCTTTTGGGGTGACTCACATGGGGGCAGAGACTGTGCTTTTGCTTTAAATTGGTTACAAATCTAGTAGGAGTCTGAGATGTGGCTTGCCCAAATTCCGATGTATAGTTTGCTGCCAACCATGGACCGTGCCCGCATAATGTGCCATTAAACAGCAGTCTCCATCAGAAACCTCTATACCAGGGTGGCAACGCAGGCACCAGGGAAGCCAAAATATAAGCGGATTAAATGTCAAAGTTTAAAATTGAATTTTCTCGGCTTAGGACAATTTGCTAATTTTAGCCACAAGTAACAAATATTTTAGAAATTTGTAGGTGGAATATTTCCCTAAACATTTTTCTATTTGTAGAATACTGTTGCTCCACCCTTGTGGCCAATGCATTACTGCTTTTGTTTTTTCCTTCCTCGCACTGTTTGGTTGGTGCTCCTGTGGAGAAGTGTGTTTTGGAATTCTGTCTATATTCCCCTCCCCATAATTTTATTTTTATTTTCTCAGGATGAAAGCTCAGGAATTGCAGCATCGATCGAGGCTAGGCAAAAGGTGGCCCAACGAAGTACTGATGGGGTGCTCATAATAATCTGGCCACTCAGTGTATATATGTATGTATATACACATCTCTCTCCTTGATCCTGCCTCAACCCCCTTATGATTCTTTACTGGACTGACAGGAAGTTTCATGACATTTCTTTGAGGTATCATGGCACTTCCTGTAGGCCAATTGGGGGGGGGGGGGGGGGGGAATGCAGTCCCCCTTCCTTCAATGTAAGGGATGTGTGCTTACCAATGAAAAATAATAGTTTGCTTCAATTCAAGGATGTGAAGACTTCTCCTTTTTAGGCTTATTGTACATCTCTCAGATTCAGTGTATAAGCTGTGCATTGAACCTCTTGCTTTAGTTACTATCTATGTGCATACAGTTTATATAATTTTTGTTTGTTCTTTTTTCCTCTGGCCTGCAGGCCGATTCGGACGGTGGAGAGAAACGCAGTTCTGATGGGTATTCCACTCACCATGCCCTCAGACAGGCTCAGCTCTCCAAGGAACTGATAGAGCTAAACAAGGTATTGCTGATAAAGGAAGCCTTGGCCAGGAAGATGGCACAGAATGACAGCCACATGGAGCCCATCCAGAATGAATACCAGGTATGATTACTGCCCAGATTGTTTATCTAATAGTGTTACCATTATAATCTACCTCAGCCAGGGGTCTGTGGGGAACTATGGACTCTGTCTTGTTTCAAGCAGAGTTTTTTTGTCTTTTTAAGATTTGGGTAGAGTAGAGAATGGTTTAAAATACCGGTCGAGATCTTCCTGTTCCATAAGTGCACAAGTATGTCACCAGCACACCATTTAAGTGAAGTCAACAAAAGTCAGTTTATTAATGGAGTACTGTCATTCCAGTACAAGCACTTTCGGGGCTGCACAGGGTCCCCCTCATCAGGCTCAGAATGACCATCATTCTGAGCCTGATGGAAGTGGACCCTGTGCGGCCCTGAAAGCGCTTGTACTGGAATGACCCTACTCCATTAATAAACTGACTTGGTGTGCTGGTGACCTTCTTTCACAAACTTATATCTTCACAACGCCATCAGTGGTCACTGCAAGCACCCACCAGGATTCCAAGGAACATCCTATACCAGTAAGGAGGGCAGCAAGGCACCTATATATTACTTCCTGTTGCATAGACCCAACAGGAAGTGAGAAGTAGTTGCTTCATAGACAATTGTTACTATTGGATGTTTTTCCTCTTTGCTCTTGTGCTGGTGACCACTCAAAATGTTATATTTTCCATCACTTTGTTCCATTGACAACAGTCGCCAGGACAAACTAACTCCCCAGTTAGGACACAGACAGCAGTGAAAATCTGACAGAAGTTTGCACACTCCACCCAGAAGTAAAAAATAGAGTTTTAGATCTAACACTCGATGCAAAGTATTCATCACAGTGTTGTTCTGTACAGAATAATATCAAGAACTTGGAAAGTGAAGTCGGGGCATTGCAGAAAGAGAAGGAAGAACTGATTCTGGCTCTTCACTCTGCCAAGAAAGACACCAACCAAGCCAAGTAAGTGACGACCATGTATATGGTGGCCTTGTGTAGCTGCTCAGTGATCACATTATTGGGGAACATTGTTAGTGGGACCAGAACTGTTTGACTGCCTACATGAAGGAAACAAAAATGTTGAGAGAAGCGTGACAACCAGGCAAGGATCTTGGTGGGTGGAGACAAAGTGGTGGTATTAAGGTTTGGTTTTCTCGTGATGGCTGTTCCGGCTCGGGATGTTGAAAAAGGAGAGTGATAATGATGGTACACGTAAGAATGGGCCAAGAGTTCAATCACAAGTGTGACAAGTGCCCATTCTTACCTGTACTATCATTACCACCCTCCTCTTCCACCATCCTGAGCTGGGAGACAGAACAGCCATCACGAGGAAACCAATCCTTAATACCACCACTTTGTCTCTACCCACCCACCAAGATCCTCGCCTGGTTGTGACGTGTCTATAAACCTGTCTGTCCCTCCACCCACCCAGGTCCGTAGACACTTGAAGCAGCGCACCAAGTAAGGCCATGCGTGGGCCCCCGTAGAGCACTGTAATACTGGACTGTCCTTTTGTTTTTTTTTTTTTTACATTTTATTTTTTTATTTCTCTTTGCCTACAGCCGCACCACTTCAGCTGTTAGTGTATGAACATTGAAGTTTTCTCACCACAAAAAATACCTTTTTTTATTTGTGCTGATCAGTTATTCCAAGATATCCCATATCAGAAATAAACGTAGAAAGAAACTCTTCTAACTCCTCACTTGCTTTATGTGGGTGCATACGCTGGGTCTACTTTGTTCCACTTTGTCACATGTAGCCACCTTCCTTGGCGTGTTCCTGCAGTGGACCTCAGTGATGCATCCAGTGCCGGCACATAAGTTCTAAAATCCTCCCCATCACCACAGCATTGCCTACGTGCTCTTTGAGTGACAGTGGGATCAGCATCGGTAATACTAATGCACATGCATGCAAACTAGTGTATGCAGAAGTGATGAATCTTGTCAGGTTCAGTCTGTGTGCAAGGGTGTCCAACTCAATTTAATCGTAGGCCGCATCAACATTATGGTTGCCCTCAAAGGTATCTGTAAAACCATATAAATGCATCTAATCTTTTAAATAATTGCCTCTGCATTCGATTTATCACTGGTTTTAGACGTTTTTGTGGTTTGGAAGCGCCAAAGGCAATCCTTATCCCTCACACCAAGGAGGAGTACTGAGCATATATGCAAGGCGCAGCCCCACAGCAGTCAAGGGAACTGGAACATCTAGAAAAAAGCAAAAAAAGGGGCGCCTTTCCTAGTGCAGAGTTGTTTAATCCAATAAAATCATCAAAATTGTACAGACAGGTACTCGCAAAAGTGGATGTAAAAACGAGCAGCAGGACAATAAAAACGGAGCAGAGCAAGGATCCGTGTGGGGCGTCCTGTATAAACTCACTGTAGTGTCAACGCGTTTCCGGGGCACGCCCCCTTCGTCAGGACGTGATGACAGTCCCCTCCCTGCTAAAGAAGAGAGAACTGGGACGTAATTGGCCAATTACGTCCCAGTTCTCTCTTCTTTAGCAGGGAGGTGACTGTCATCACGTCCTGATGATTTGACTCTGCACTAGGAAAGGCGCCCCTTTTTTTTGCTTTTATCACTGGTTTTAATAATAACTTAATACCTAGATCTGAAAGTAGAAGTCTAGGAAATGGCCTGGTGGGCCGGGTTCGGCCCCTGGGCCTTGAGATTGGCACATGTGGTGTAGAGCAATGCAGTTGCCGGTAGTACACATGCACTGCTTGTACTTCAAAACTAGAAGTGTGCGCAAGCTCTTCTGTGGATAGCAGGGTGAGGGGAGAATCGGTTTGCAGCATAAAGGTTAGCAAATCATTTGCAAAATAAATTTGAGAGGTGTTGCTTTACAATGCTGGATTGGAAAATGTTCTTGTGTATGCCACGTTCGATCTAAACAATGTAGTGTTTGTATGGAAACTGTTCTAAGCTCTTTTCTTCCTGTAGGCTTAGTGAGAGACGGCGAAAGAGATTGCAAGAGTTGGAGGGTCAGATGGGCGACCTGAGGAAAAAGCTGAATGAGCAATCAAAGCTTCTGAAAATCAGAGAATCTTCTGAGAAAACAGTCGGCAAACTTAACCAGGAGATCCAGGTAATGATGCAATTCTGGAAGCCACCAACGTGATTTTGTCCTCATTTCAGAAGGAATCTGGCCTCCCTGCTGTGGCTCTAGGTCATGGTTAGGCAATTTAAGGCATGTGGGCACGTGATGTAATGTTCAGTGGCACTGGAACATCCTTTCAGGGCAATGCATGCAGGTTATGACTGGCCTGCTGAAGGACCAACAGATCCTTTGGTGGGCCTTTGCTCCCTACAAAGCCAGTGCCACTGTAACGGACTGCTCACTATGCTGGCAATTACAAAACCTGGCCTGTGTCCACAAGCCACCCACCTCCATTTTATGTTTCAGATGTCACAGTACATTCAGGTGCCAGCACCAGTACTAGTGTAGGCACTCTGGCAGCTGCAAACATCATTGGCCTGCCTGTCTTATTTATTATTAATTTTGGTATTTACTATTCACGATTTTTATATAGTGCCAACAGTTTGCGCAGCGCTTTACAATAAGTCTACACTCCTTTTCCGAGTGCAATAGCCAACTGCAGCAGGTATGGATATAAACCCCCTACATTTCTAATGATGCATGAATTGGGGCTTGTCTGAGGTCGGCAGCACACTATGTTCACTAGCATGCAAGTTGCCTATTGCCTTTGTAAATTTCCAGCTGGTGTAGAAATTAGGGATGCACCAATACTAAGTACAGTACTCTGTACAAGTAGTAAAATATAGAGAATGAACTGCGCCAATAAGCAAGCTAACAACTACAAGGCACTGGAATGTACACCCACTGTGAGTGTGTATACGTGAAAAATTAATAACTAAAGCTCGGCACATTTAGTTATTCATTACTCTGTACAAGTACCGATACTTTTCGAGCACCAACACTAGACTAGAGAAAAATTCAAAAGTTAGGAGGCCGCTGTCATTTTTAAGGCGCACACGGAGCTCCTGTGATTTGTAAATCTTTGTTTTAATGTATGATTTTGTTTTTATAAATATAAATAAAGGGATGCACCGAAACCAGTTTTGCGAGTACAAGTACTGATACTTGCACAAGTACGAGTACTGATACATTTTTGTTGTCATGTGACAGTTTTTCTAAAACAATACAGAGTAATGATTTCAGGACAGTGGTGGAGCGCCAGAGCCAGGTCCCAGCTGCAACCCTGGTAGTTCTTTTGAAAATGCCAAGTATCGGCACTGGTACTCAAAGTATCGGTGCATCCCTAGTAGAAATGATTCCTGACCACTGCTCTATACAATAATAAACCTTGAATTTTACATTCTACCTTTCGTGTCTTTTCCAGGGCATGAAAATGCAGCGGGTTCAGCTTATGAAGCAGATGAAAGAGGATGCGGAGAAGTTTCGCTCTTTCAAGCAGGAAAAAACTAAGGAAGTTATTCAACTTAAAGAGCGAGTACGTAGCACTTCCGCACTCGTCGTGGATAAGCATCGCACATGTATTACCTGATGTGGTGCCTAATATATTAATTTTATAGGATCGTAAGCGTCAGTATGAGCTGCTGAAGTTGGAGAGAGACTTCCAGAAGCAAGCCAGTGTGCTGCGGAGGAAATCCGAAGAGGTAAGAGAAAATGCTTTGTTCCAGGGGTTGCTATTCGTGAAAGTAGATTTAAACTAACTGGGAAAATTATTTTTCATCTGTGTATCAGAAGTAGTTACCATGTGCCCTCTTCGGTCTACCTGCCCCAACATCGACTGCATCTAATTACTCGGGGCCAGCTTCCTAATGGAATGGTGCCCCATGTCTGTGCAATGTGCGTCGCCATGGAAGCTTGTAGTCCCAACCAGTGCATGTGGCAGGGTGACGACACAGGGGCACATAGGACAGTTGTCACTAGGGATGCACAAATACTGGTTTTACGATATAGGGTACTGATATTCATTTTTCAGTACTCGCCGATACCGAATACCAGGACTTCTGGTAGCATGGACTCGGCTTCCCGGGCAATCAGGACCCGTATAATTACTTGCTGCCCGGCTTCTTGATTGCCCGGGAAGCCGGCTCCATGCTGTTTGGCTGCCTTGCCAGCATCACAGCTGATCGGCATGGATCTGGCGTGTTCCCAGCCAATCGGCAAACTGGGAGGCAGGTCGTTACCCACTTCCTGATTGGCCGGGAAGCAAGCTCCATGCTGATTGACTGGGAAGCCAGCTTCCCGACCAACCAGCATCGAGCCGGCTTCTGGGCCAATCGGAGAGCCGGGCCACGAATTACCCTAGGCCCGGGAAGCTGGCTCCATGTTCCCATGTGGCACTGCCGGTCAGAGGAAATCCCCCTCTGACCGGAAGTTCCGGTATCACAATAAGTATTGGAGTATTTGTATGTACGAGTATTCACCCAAATACTCGATATTGGTGCATCTCTAGTTGTTACCCTAGAACAGGAAGGGTATTAACGTGCCTGGAGTTCTGTATAACCAATTTTTAAAATACATTAACGTGTCAAAAGTTTTCGATGTGTTTTGGTGACTGGGTGTCACTACATCAAATTTTCATATTAACAAATGTTCATTTATAGGCAGCGACTGCTAATAAACGTTTGAAGGAAGCCCTACTGAAACAGAGAGAAGCCATGGACCGACGCAAGGATGCCCAGAATAAAGGCATGGAGGGAGCAGCCACGAGGGTCAAGGTATGCAAATCAAATTGGTGGCTGCTCGGTGTAAGTGTACCTGGCAGTCCTGACCTTTTTTTGGGGGGAGGGGGCGGGGCCCTCCAATGAACAAGCTTATTAGAAGTACTGGGAAGTCACTACCGCCCAGCCAACCTGTTACTTTTTACCTGAGATGGAACTGTTTTACTTTTTTGCCTACAAACTGTGTTCAGCAGCTCATGGAGGGCATTTACTACTACTACTGTATTTGTATTTCTTTTCACCTAGAACTGGCTAGCCAGCGAGGTGGAGGTTCTTGCGAGCACAGAGGAAGCACAGGGACATTTGAATGATCTCCTTGAAGACCGAAAGATTCTGGCTCAAGATATAGTCCAGCTGAAGCAGAAGAGAGAAGCGGGAGAACGCATACCTCCAAAGATACGGGTGAGTAATGCAGTACAGACTGAACGCTGCCTTGCTAGAAAATGTGCAAATCCACTCCCAAGGGGTTGGCCATGTTTTCATCCGTTGAGGGACACAAGAAGTCGCATGAAGATGATTTAGGGCTTGTTCACATGATATCAGGTCCTGATCAGGTGCGGATCTGCAGAAGCAGTGCGTTTTTTAAGCGTTTTCGGTCCGGATGCTGACGGTTCTTTTTTAGCCGTGGGGCTGTCAGTATGCAGATTCTTCCTCTGAGGTCACTTCCGCCCTCTCGGAACATCTACTTTCCTTTGTGTATGTAAAGCTGGTGATCAGACATGTATCCCATGTTTGCAGGCATGTTGATGGTGCTGACTACAGCAATCTGCAGAGAACGAGCCCGCAGGAGACGTCGTTATTGGGTACACCCGATCCTGAGGCTCCGGGACTCCAAGGGTCAGTTCTGGAGTTTGTATGAGGATTTGCGAGGTCACCCGGATAAATTTTTTTCCTTTACTCATATGTCCTATGACATCATAAAAAGTGGAGCAAGAATACTATTTTTTTTTGCTTAGCTGCGTTGCGTTTTCGTTGCTTTTTTTTGCCGCGTTCGTGAGTTTCCAGACCGGACAAAATGTGACATGCAGTTTTTTTTCTGTCGTAAGTTGAACGGACTGCGCACGCGAGAACTGTAGCCCATAAAACGCATAGGGATACTTTGGGATGCATTTTAAGTGCAGGAGCATACGGATCAGGTCAGCACAGAAAACGGATGTCGTGTGAACAGGCCCTTAAAGGAGAACTATGAGGGGGGTGCTTTTCACTCACCTCATAGTTCTAGCCGACCTGTGACAATTAGACTGTCACAGGTCGGCTCAGTAGATTGGGAGGTGAGCGAACACATACCGGCGTTCGCTCACTTCTCAATCCTGTCACGGCTCTCTCCCGTGACAGGGGAGGGGCTGGATTCCCCGCTCCGATCCGCCAGCGCTGACTGAACGGACGGGGAGGGGGCGGGTACAGCTGGCTCTGCCTCTAGATAGGCAGAGCCAGCTGTCAGTCACGCAGCTGGGCAGATCCCGGCACAATTATCGGGATCCGCTTCAGCTGCGGCATCTCGGTATACCGCGAGCTGTAGCTTGCGGTATACTGAGCTTAGGGTGACGGGAGGACGCTAGTTTGTGTCCTCCCATTACCCTAAGGAGAACTATGGGGAAAAG